CCTGACAGCGGGTGGCACGCCCGGCTCTCTCCCTCAGCCTCACTCCGGGGTCTCCACGGGCCGAGGGGACAGATGGCATCACCCAGGCCCAGGCCGTGGCTGTCACTCGGCCGGACGAGTTACAAGTGGCCCAAGGGGCGGCAGCTGTGGGGGGGCTGCAGAAACAATGGCATTGAGGCCCCAGGACAATGGGGGCCACGTGCCACAGGGGCAACAGTCGTTTGTCACACAATGGGCCGTGGGGGGCGGACGGCAGCCGGGCCAACTGCTGCCCTGACAGGGGCCGGCGAGTTTTCAAATCCTTTCCAGGCCGTGTTTTCCTGCGAGGCAGCCAATCGCCGGGCAGCTGGGCGTCACCTGATGCCAGGTTGGTGGGCCCAGGCCCTGTGACAACTGAGCAGCAGTGGCCATGGCAACGCTAATTGTGGCCCTAAAACACAGGGGAGGAGAGAGCAGGAGACATGGGAAGAAGGGGGAGGCGAGAGACAGGAAGAGAGAGAAGGAGGGCGAGAATACCAGATCGGGGCACCCCGCAGATGGCAGGGGGCGGAGGCCGGTGCCCGTCTGTGGGTCCCGGTCACGTGCCCGAGAGAAGCAGAGGTGGCATTTCTTACCGCTTTCTCTCTCCCTCTCCAGCTCTCTGTGTGGCACTTGGAGCTTGGAATTTGGACCCGGGGCTCCCGGCAACAAACCAGACAGCCCCTGGCTCAGGGGGGCAGGTGTGGTGGGCATGGGCTGGGCTCCTGGCCCATGTGCAGCCGCACTGTCGCCTGGACGAGGTGCTGCTGTGGGCCCAGTGCTCTCGCAGATCGGGCACCTGCCTGGCATCCTCACTGGGCAGCCTTTCTCCTTCCATGGGAGGTGCTGTTTTGCCTCATGAATCTGTTCTTTGCCTGGGGGGCATGGGTCCTCAATGGAGCCTCCAGTGGACTCGGTTCCCTGAGCCTCAGTTTCCCCATCTGTAAAAGGGGGATATGAGCACATCCTACCTGTCAGGGTTGCTCTGGGGATTGAATGGTCCTATGCTTTTTTGTTTTTAATTTATTTTTATTGATTTCAGAGAGGAAGGGAGAGGGAGAGAGGGAAACATCAATGATGAGAGAGAATCATTGATCAGTGGCCTCCTGCATGCCCCCTATTGGGGACAGAGCCTGTGACCTGGGCATGTGCCCTGTCTGGGAATCAAATTGTGACCTGGTTCAAGTGGGACTATGCTTTTTGAGCGCGGATGCCATTACCTCAGTTTCCCCATCTGTAAAATGGGTACAATAGTACTACCTGCCTGATGGATTAACCGGGAATGTTTCAATGGCCTAATTCCTCGAAAGGACTTGATATGGTGCTTGGCATATAGTAAGTGTTCAACAAACATATTGCTCATCATCTTGGGGCCGGGGCTAAGGAACGTGTTAGAAGAGTGAATGCTGGAGTGATCTGAGGCTGTGTAACCTGGCTGCCAAAGGGAGGGTCCTGCGACCAGGGTGGGGAGATTGAAGGGTGGGGGAGGCTCGGGGAGGTCAGAGGTATATATCCACACTCATTTCCTTAGATAGTTGAATGTATGTGTACAGACAGACAGACAGACACACACACACACACCTAAGGGGGAGACTCCAGAGGTAGGGGAGCCCCTGGAGCTGGCCTGAGCTCCCGCCCCGCCCGAGCGCCTGCCCTCCCTGCAGGCTCCTGGCCACCACGGGTGACGAGGACCTTCCCGGGGACCTGCAGTCACTGTCGTGGCTCACGGCCGTGGACGTGCCCCGGCTGCAGCAGATGGCAAGTGGCCGCGTGGACCTGGGTGGCCGCAGTGCACCACCCGCTCACCCAGGTAGGCCCAGGGGCAAGGTGGGGCG